GGAAAGCAGGTAGACTGTTAAGATATTTACATATAAACATATTTAAAATACTTGTGAGGTTGTATTCCTTGCTGTTCAGATGAAGAAATAAGCATTTCTCCCAAGGAAGGGCTTCCTCAGAGAGTAATTAAAGAATGAATTGTAGAGTATAACCTTTGAAATGGCTTAATCCATGAATAGTAGAATAAAATAGAATCAATATTTTTGTCCGTCCTCTTTCATGATGCATGTTGGATTTTTAACCTAGAGAGCAAAACATTTAATACAATGACTCCTGCTGCTTCTTTACACAGTGTATGATCAGTTTAAAGAATTCACTCTTCCAGAGCATTCTTACATAACTGCATTCTAAAATAAGTTAGTAAATTTTATGACTGTTAATACCAATTAGTTCCTTTGCCAAAATCTTAAGTAAGGGAAAATTAATACTGAGAATAAAACGGTGACTCAGAAACTTTAGGTAGTCAACAACAGGAGTAGTTACCAGGTCTCTGTCCAATATGATTGGTTGGTTCATTCGTTGGTTGGTGATCAAGGCTTGTTTTTTATGGGGTAGGGTTTTGTTTTTGTTTTGCAGTGCTGGGGATGGAACCCAGGGCCTTGTGCATGCTAGGCAAGTGCTTTACCACTGAGCTGCATCCCCAGCCCTGAGGTGGAGATCTTGATACCGAAAGAACTAACTATAGGTCCTCCAGATATTTCTGTGTTAGTTACTACTAATATCATTTTTCATTTTCTTCCTGTTTTTTTTTTCTTTCTGCTGAAAAAATTTATTCTGGGAACTGTTAAATGCCTTAATATAGTTTTTTCTCTCATGAAGTTAGTATAATTTAGGAACCTTTATCTAAAATTTACTTAGTCTTTCTTTTTGTATTGCAAATTCCATTTTTGATACAGAATTAAGGATGAAGCATGGGATTATCATTAATGGATTACTGATATATTTTATCACATTCTTAATTTGTTTCTTAAAATACCAGCTTTTAACTACCTCATTATTTATACAGAGCAAGGCACTGAAACAAATAGCAAATTATGCCTATCTTGTTAACTACAGCTGGTGACATTCTGTTGCAGACGTTGTGGGGGCAATGGCATGCTTTCATGAATAAATTGAATTTAAAACACAAGTTCTTCATGTTTTTTTAAAATATTTATTTAGTTGTAGATGAACACACAGTATCTTTATTTATTTTTATGTGGTGCTGAGGATTGAACCCAGTGCCTCACACATGCAAGGCAAGCACTTTACCACTGAGCTACAGCTTCAGCCCCTCTTCATGGTGTTTTGTCATGTATTTTTCTTGTTTGTCCACACCTATGTTGTGTATGTCATCTCTGGGTGGTGGTGGAACAAGTAATAAAGCTTGGCATGTGATCACCTCCTGCCTTTCTATTAAATATCCATGAAGATATTTAAAAAGAAAAACAGGAGCTCGTAATAGTTCTGTAAATAAAAAAAAAAAAAAATCCATCAAAGATTATTGGCAAGGAGAATTGATTTCATTAGCAGGAATGGTTTAACAAGGCTAGTCTTGAATGTCATGCTATTTATTCACCTTTGTGAACCCAAGTTGGTCAAAATATCCAAAGGGAGTAGGAAAAGACTTGGATCCATGCCCATAGAGGCTGGACAGCAAGGAGCTGGAGTTCTCAGTGCCTCACTATGCCACATTAGCATCTATATTTCCAGATCATTTCAGAGACTAAAATGCCCCCAGATACAGTAAAACAAGAAGTAGAGAAGGAGTAGAAGAGGCATATAGCATCCACAGAGAAGTGTGGGAGCAGGCTGTGCTAGGAAATGTGCTCTCTAGATCCCACACAGGAAACAGCAAGTGGCATGTGCTCCTCCAACTTTTTATTCATAGAACCGTGCCCAGGCAGTCCAGCCTCAGACTAGCCAAGCTCAATAAGAATCTTTGCTAGGAGTCCAGGTTTTGAAATCAGGCTCAGGCTACATCAATCTGTATTTGAAATTCAGATGGCTGAAGAATCCATGTTCTCTTTTTGCTGCCAGATATCTGCCAGTCCTGGTGGCTCTTTTTTTCATCCCTAGTAATGATGAAGCCAAAAAAATGGAGGGGAGGCCCTGTGAAGAGACATGGCAAAGAAGACATTGCCCTGTAGTGGCAGCACCTAGATCTGAAGATGTTTTTTTTTTTTTTTTTCTTTGTAAGAAGCAGATGAAGTTGAGACATCTGCTTAGTTTCCTGAAAGAGCACTATGAAGATATGACCTCTACAGATGGAACAAACTGAAACGAGGCAAAAATTGCATAAGTTGGCTGCTGAGATAAGGAAAGAAGATCAAGAAACCTAAAATGGAGCCAATAAAGAACAAAATTGGTGCAGCATTTTGAGTAATTCTCTCATTAACTGTTCATTCATTAAATATTGAACAACATAACTACCCTGTGCCTGCTGTTCTAGGCACAAATGATGCAGTTGTGAACAAAGCATATCGAACAATTACAAAAGATCCACCTAAAAGTTCTGAGGTTTACCCTGGCGTAGTGGTGTATGCCTGTCATCTCAGTGGCTTGGGAGGCTGAGGCAGGAACAGCACGAGTTCAAAGCCAGCCTCAGCAACTTAGTGAGACCTTGTCTCAAAAATAAAATGTAAAAAAGGCTGGGGATGTGGCTCAGTGATTAAGCAACCCTGAGGTTTATAGTGAAAACTAAGTTCGTTAGAAGAAAACTATTCTAATTTCATTGATCTTGAGATAATATTAGTTCAAAAAATACAAACATTCCCCTCTAGATATATTCCGATAATTTCAAATTTTTATTTCAAGGAAAATGAGAAGTTCTAAAAGTAATAAGGCAGAGAATAAAAATAAGTTATCTACATTAGAACAAAAGCCAAATTGGCCACAGACAACTTTTCTATAGCACTAAATACTGGAGACCATCAGGACATTGTTCCCCATTTAGAGCCTCATGTACTATTACTATAATTTCTTTGTGTTTGAAAATGGCAGTCTTTCTTTTCAAACCGTTAATTTTCTTCCTCTTGGAAAAGTATACAGTATATGGATTTTGTTGCAAGACACTCCACTCCTATTAGCCTTTAAGTTGCTTTAATAAGCATATATAGATTTTTTCCTGTCAGAGATGTGAATGGTTCCTTCCAGGGCTTTGCAGTACACACAAGTTTACAGGGACTCTTCAAGAATGTAAGACTTCCCCTTCCTTCTGCGAACTTGCCATGCACACGTGAGGATGTTCAGGAAAATACGATACTTCCTCAGAAAGCCATTCAGCAATCCACTCTGGCTGAGTAAAAAAATAATGCAAATATTTCACTCAATAATGAATATTTCACAAAAATTTGTGAAAACTGTAGAAGAAAAAGGCTGTTGGTAAACAGTGAAGCCAATTCAATATGTAAATAAATATAGATGAACTTAATCACTCTCGTGTGTGTAATTTTAAATTAGATTTGACAGCCAAAACCTAATCTCAAAAATAAATTCATTTAACAAAGCAACGTAAGATCAGGATTTGTAACTTCAGGTTAATTCAGGAGTTTAAGGTTCCAATAATATCAACTGGTTCTGGCATAAGAATAGTAGGCTACACAGGACTAAACTGGAGATGACTAAGAAAGCTCTGAAAGCAAATCTAGAATATGTATGTGAGAATATAAAATATAAGAAAGAACTAAAAATCCATACTGAAGGGGATTAGGACAATTGATTCTATATTTAGAAATAATATTAAATCTAGATTCCCTCATTATGTCATATTAAAATAAATTACAAATAGATACAGATTTAAGGAAAGACATTAAATTATTAAAATACCAAGGCGCACAAATATGGATAAATATCAGCCACACTTAAGTTAAATAAGGAGTTTGGGAATAAGAGTAGTGAACCTAGTTACAAAGGCCTATATTAATAAATTTGATTATATAATAACAAGATATATTCAGCAACAACAAAAATCCTAAATAGTTTGATAATCAAGTCAACCTGGGGAAATTTTGGTAACAACTTTTCATCCTTGAATCAGCTAGGAAAAAAAATTTACCCTAGTAGACCTCAATGCACTAACCAGGTGATTAAAAAAAAGAAAACTTCTCTAATCTCAATGAATTCCAGAGATTCTTTAAATAATTATATGTCATTTGGCATTGGTTGTAGCCTGGATATTCTCATACACTGCTGAAGGGAACTGTGAAATGATACAGTTTTCAGTGTCAGTTTGGCAATATGTATTAGGACCCTTTAACATTATTTATATATTAGTTGTCAATGGATCTTTATTTTAGCTTATTTATATGCTGTGCTGAGAATCGAACCCAGTGCCTCATGCCTGCTAGGCAAGTGTTCTACCACTGGGCTACAATCCCAGCCCAGGACCCTTTAACATTATTGATATATATAATCGAACCAGTTGTCTTGCTACAGAATGTACCTTATGGAAATAAAGATGCAGGTATTGAAGTTATTCATTGATAGACTGGTTAAATAATCATCCATTAAAAATGGTGGTTTTAAAAATAATGACAGGTCAAAATGTTGCTTATATAGTATCAAGTGAAATAAAGGCAACATACAACAAGATGTACTACATTGCTATTCCAATTTGAGAAAAATTTAATGGAAGAAAATATGCGAAAATGTAGCAAGGGTTATATGAATATTTTTGATGTCTCCTTTATACTATTTTTATTCCTTTTATATCCTGCCACTTTTGAGTAGCCTGAAGACATCAACACTTCTAGTTTATGATTCATGCATATTCCATTGCCATCTCAACTGTTTGTGCCTTTTCCTCTTCCCCTTCTCCTTCACCTTCCTTGACCGTGTCTACAGTGTGGTAAGAAAGAGAGTTTTGGAACCAAGAAATGGAGGGCTATGAAGGAGGAGGATCTGGTTTCTTTCTTTCTGGGTTCTTGCTACTCTGTCCCAGAATATACCCCCAGGTAATTGGTTCCCCAATTGGAAAACCATTGAAGAATGACTTTCCTTCTGCCTTTTTCCTTTGCAGGAAACACATGAAATTGTGGCAATCAAGAAATTCAAGGACAGTGAAGGTATATATGTATTTTTTTTTTCCTTCTTAAGATTTTGTAAAGGAAGTGTGGAAAGATGTGGTTTAGCTGGTTGGACCCTATCTTTTCCTAAGATTTTAAAGACATCATCTCAGAAAGTGAATATAGCTTATTTATTATCATGCTTTGGGCTGAAAAATTTAGTTCCTTTCATATGAATCTTTTCATGTATCCTGATATTAGAACATTTATCATGTGTTTTACAGTACAATCAACACTGGAAATCTTGCTTCAAAGTCTGTATAGAAGTCATCTACAATGTTTTCAAATATAATTAAAATGAAAAGGCTGATTTAAAGTAAATGCTTCTCCGAGTCACACAAATAGCTAGTGTTTTGTGAAAGGTTTCTGTACTGGTTACTGTGCTCTCCAGCTCCTAGTCAGAGTTAGAAATACAAGAATAATGAGAGACAGTATCAAGGGGTGATTTTATATTTAGAATCACTCATTTGAAGAATAAAAGCTTTTTGAGAAGAAATAGCATACTTTGAAGGTCTTCATCACACATCTAGACCATTTCAAATAGAATATTGAAATTACTCTATGCTGGGAAAGAAAGTTTAAAATATAGCATTTAGTAATTTATCTGGTTTTTAATCTCTACTGTTGGCCAAAGATAGCCAGCTGATCATGAAAATCTGCATGGCCTTTAAGGAGTTGTAGGGAGTGTTTCTTCACATTTTTTTAGACAGAGAACTCCAGTAGAAATACATTTGTATCCTAACCTAGTGTCCATACACATACTGTACTAGATGTAACTAAAACAAAAGTATCACAAACTACTTTGTTATACTAATGTAAGGTACTCCATTTTCTGTTCTCTCCTGTTCATATAAACTCACATAAATGCCTATCTATTGTAGCATCAGATAAATTGATTCTACTACTAATGAGCCACAGCTTGCCATTTGAAAAACAATGACCTAGGGGTAAGAGGAACCAGCATAGCATCAACCTTTGTATCTAATCAGAAGTAGGAAGATTGCCATCACAGCCTGCCCTCATCAGATCCCATTTACTAAGCTCTGTAAGATACCAACTTCTACATTTATGAATAGCTTTTCCTTACCCTCACCCTCACCCTCAGAGACTCGGCAAACATGAAACAACTGAAAGGGCTTGCTAACAAAAATGTCCCAGGATAGATTCAGTACTGTTTGATGTAATTGAACTCTGATGTTCTGGTTATGTGGAGCACATGCATATCAGCTGGGAACTTTAGCAGCCATTGTGAGGGCAGCCTTAAAGGAAGGCAGTGGAAAAATGCTTTTAGCTTTTTCTGGGCTGGGACAGGTGCAGGGGGTGGGGGTGCAGAGGGCATGCTTCAAAGGGTGTGCTGTGGTCTAAAGGAAGCAGTAGCCCTGGGCCAACCCACCGTGAGACCATTGGAAATGAGCTCTTTGAGCAGTGACTTTGAACTAACGACAGGTGGCCCAGAGACAAACGATGATCTCCTAAAAAGAGTGGTTGCATCAGTAGATGAAAGCACAACTTTCGTATGCGTATAGAGGCTTCTGGCTGTGCATTCATCTTACAGGGCACATCGGCAAGCATCAGATATCACCAAAAATAATAATTGTCATTGGGTTTTTAAAAAGGAGTGCAATCTAGGCCATTTATACCATTGCTTTTTTTTTTTTTTAAATTAAATACCATATTTTTTTACAGTCTATCCTGTGGCATACCAGTGATTTGCTATAATTATGATATATGTTTTTGTTTTGTTGAGTTATACATGACATATTTATATAAATGTGGAGTGTATCTTATTCTAATTAAGATCCCAATCTTGTGGATATACACAATGGTGAGATTCACTGTGGTATATTCATATATGTACATAGGAAACATGTCAGATTCATTCCACTGTCTGTTCTCTATTCCCATCCCCTCTCCCTTCCCTTCATTCCCCTTTGTCTAATCCACTGAATTTCTATTCTTCCCCTCTCCATCATATTATATATTTTTACCTGTTATGATACCTTCAGAGTGACAATCAGTGGTGTATCTGCAGTAATTCATAACACACTGAGCCAGGTACTGTAAGGGCAATAAAGATAACACATGTGAAGCTTATAACCTATTGGTAAAATTAAGACCTGTAAATAAATAATCGTAAAACAGAATAAAAAACAGTGCCTGAGTAGAGACATGATTCATTTTGACGTAAGAGAGATTGTGTCTAGCTGTGGCATCCAAAGGTATGAGTATAGTCTAGACACAGAAAAATTTTGATCTGTCCTTATTTCTCTGAGTCGACAAGTCATTAATTTGCTGTGCCCTCATCTCTGCTAGACCATTATTAATCACCACTCACTGGCATGGAGCCTTATCACCTATCCCACTTTGTTAATGTACACCTACATGTACTTTTAGAGAGATACTTCCAAAGCATTTCTTTGATAGAATCTGAAGACATATCCAATTATTAATAAACTTTTTAGTTCCATCCTGTTATAGGCCCACTTTCCTACTGTTTCCAGTTCTCCCTGGGACATCTACTACTGTTGTCTGTGTCTTTTATCTTTTTCCTCCTGTCAGAGTAATGTCTTACTTAATGGAATGAAAGAGTACATGTATGGTGAACAACCCTTTTGGAGTGTGGAATGAACATAAATAGTTTCATACAGGTGAGGCTGTCCAACTCCTGTGTAAACCATTTAATCTGAATCAGTTTATTATCTTAAATTTCAGTTAAGCCTGTTATAATAAAAGGTATGGTGTCATAATAATATTGTCATGTAGCTCTTATTCATCTCTTTTATTAGTTACTCTGAAAGTATCCTTTTGATATTGCAATGGTGATTATTCTAAGTTAATGTTTAAAAATCTTTGTAAAGATTATGGTATAATTCCATAAAAACAACATTAAACTGAAGCAGGATCTGTAATTGGTCTGACTGACATTCAATCTAATGAAGTATTTTCAAATTGATATCAAGGGGTATTTTGTGAGAGTAGATATTACCTTCTGGTAGATTTGAAAGATTCTGATAATATCTTTAAATATTCTTAAATCCATATGTTGTCACAAATTTGTGGAAAACATTTTCAGGGCTACAATGTTAAGGTAGACCACTATTTAGTTCAAGAGGTCCCTATTATTCCAGGATATCAATTACTATTTAAAATGGGGGAAAATTCATAGTAAATAAAATGTTATATTGGAACTCTCAGTTGAGAAATTGGAACTAAAATTATGAATGAATATAAGTATTTTATACTTAATACAATTGAAGTTATAATAGCAACTATACTGTAAAATTACTCTTCCTCTCAAAAATAATCACTTTTTGAGAGGGAGAATAATTTTACAGTAAAATTGTAGACTAGGCTAATGAATGACTTCCACAATAAAAAGAGGGTCATTAAAAGAATATTCAAAAAAAATTTAAAAAGCTTTGTCAGTTTTCTCTTCATTTTTTGTATTCCTGTCTTTCTGTCATCTTTTTCAGGTTTTTATTCTCTAGTTGTTAGCTGGTATAACTCTATCAGATCATTTTTTTCTCAGTGTCTTTTTCTATAATTCTCCCTTGAAAGACTTTGATACCTTGGGGTGAGAACAGAAACTCTTATTAAAAGGAAGGAATGTGGACTGGGGTTGGAGCTCAGTGATAGAGCCTGTGCTTAGCATGCTTGAGGCTCCGGGTTCAATCCTGAGAACTCCCCCAAAAAAGGAGGAGACGGTGTGGGAGGAGGATGTTTGAGGGCAAATTTTAATCTGAGAACACTTTGTTAGTTAGATTTTTCTTATTTCAGTGACTTCTGCCTCTTGACATGTCCTCATAAATTGGAAGTGTCAGTGAATTCTTAGCAGTACTTAAATGATGGTATTATAAATTTGTCAATTAAGTTTCCACAGAGAAACATTCCGGTGAATACCAAACCAACCATAAGTCTTCATCAAATTATTTGCTCATTATTTGGATTTTCTGAGAAGATCAAAAAATGACCACAGACTATAAAGATAATAGATACTATTTAGGTAAAAGGTACTTTTCAGACTATGTATAATTATAAATTTAGCCTAATTACCCTACTCTTCCTGTAATTCCAGTCTTATGTGATGAGATGTGATGTTCACATGATAATATTCTGTCACTGTTGGTTCATCATTCTCACCCATTGGCATGTATAAAAGCCTTCTGCCCCAAACTTATTAAATGATTTAAGAGCACTGATTTAGATTAGGTGGCTTTGGTGGGGTTCTTTTTTTTTTTTTTTTTTTTGGTCTTTTTTGGAACTGGGGGTCGAACCCAGGGCCTTGCGAATGTAAGGCAGACGCTTTGTCACTGAACTACATCCCAGCTCTAAACTAGGTGGCTTTGGACCAGCAAGAATTAAAAATATCATCTGCTAAATCTTTATTTTAGGAGAACCTGTGGTCTAGAATTTATTTTTTAGTTTTTTAGGTGGATACAATATCTTTATTTATTTATTTATTTATTTATTTAATGTGGTGCTAAGGATCAAACTCAGTGCCTCTGCATGCTAGGTGAGCACTCTTCCACTGAGCCACAGCCCCAGCCCTCTAGAATTTATCTTTGACTTATGTTTGGATATTCCTTTTGATTCTTGGGACTTTTCTATCTTTCCTGGAATGTACAAATGATGGGATGAGGAAGGATCTTCCCTACTTGTCACTGGGCCTTGGTACATGGTAAGGGGGCTGGCTCTGGGGAGCTGTGTAGCAGTCCATGTTTAATGTGGAATTTTGGTTGTATCTCTAATTTTATATCAAATAAAATTGCTTGTGTTTCATGTCTTGCTTATGTATTCTATAAATATTTTTCTCTTGGGTGGACATATTTATTCTTAATTATTAGAACATGTTTAATTGATCATCTTTTCTTTCCTCCAATTTATTTCATTCTTATTTTTACCCAAACACTAGAAAAATCTATACTTTGTATCATTTTACAAAGCAAGAGTTCATAATCTTGAGTCAAGAGCCTCTATTCTCTGAAAGAGAGGTCTTGAAA